AGAGCCAGGGAGAGAACCCAGGCGTCCTGGCTCCTAGCCCCCCGGCTCTAACCACCAGCCCCCACTCCCTTCCCAGAGCCAGGATAGAACCCAGGAGTCCTGGCTCCCAGCCCCCCCTGCTCTAACCACTAGACCCCACTCCCCTCCCAGAGCCAGGGAGAGAACCCAGGCGTCCTGGCTCCTAGCCCCCCGGCTCTAACCACCAGCCCCCACTCCCTTCCCAGAGCCAGGATAGAACCCAGGAGTCCTGGATCCCAGCCCCCCCCCCCCTCTGACCCACTCGACATCCCCCCCAGCTCACCATATTCCTCCTCCTCCGGGCAGGGTGGCATATTGAGACATGGCTCCTTCTCCTCCACCTCCAGGGCCTGCCCGTTGATGGGCTGGCACTGGGGCCAGGGTTTACCCCAGAAGCTGACGTTTACCGACCCGGTGCTCCCCACTCCCTGGGTCTCCATCCTGCGGGGGAGGGGAGAGATCAGCATCAGGCCCAGACCCCTCCCACGGGCCTCTGGATCAGACCCATGGGACCCCCACAGCTTGGTATCCTTCCCCTCCCACCAGATCGGCCCCAACCCTGGTATCCCCACTCCTGGATCAGACCCACAGGCGCTGGTATGTCCCCCCTACCCCACCCCCAGCTGGTCACACTCACGAAAATTTGGGGTACGTGGGTTGGCAAACGCGCTTCCGAGACTTCATGGAGTTCTTCTCGCAGGGTGGGACGCAGAGACCCCAGGGACTCCAGTCGGACCACTGGCCCTCCACTGGGGAGCCAGTACAGACACCAGTCAGGTCAAGAGCCCACCTGGCCCGGTATCCCACCTGCCCTCCCCCCAAGTCAGAACCAGGGGCCCCTGCAGCCGGGTACCCCCGCCCAGATCAGACCCCCGGGCCCCTGCAGCCGGGTACCCCCGCCCAGATCAGACCCCCGGGCCCCTCCAGCCGGGTACCCCCGCCCAGATCAGACCCCCGGGCCCCTCCAGCCGGGTACCCCCGCCTGCCCCACCTCGGACACTCACGTTTGCACCGAAACATGTTGTAGCAGCTGCGGATATGGATAGTGCTGCCCTCACAGCGCTTCCCATCGGGGCTGCGCCCCCGGCACTCCCGCGTCCGCCTCTGCTGCCCCACGATCTCCCGGCAGCTGATGCTCCCGGTGTAACCCGGCCGGGTGCAAGTGGACCACTCCCCCCACTCCGACCAGCGCCCGTCCACTGCGGGGGAGAGACGGGGAGACCCCCAGAGACAACAGAGTATGACTGTGAGTCCTCCCACCCACCCATCCATCCATCCATTGATACATCATCCATCCATCCACCCATCGACCCATCCATCCATCTACCCACACACAAACCAGCCCACCCATCATCCATCCATCGACCCATCCATCCATCTACCCACCATTGATCCATCCATCCACTGACCCACTCATCCACCCATTGACCCATCCATCCATCTACCCACACACAAACCTGACCACCCATCATCCACCCATTGACCCATCCATCCATCCACCCACACACAAACCAGCCCACCCATCATCCATCCATCGACCCATCCATCCATCTACCCACCATTGATCCATCCATCCACTGACCCACTCATCCACCCATTGACCCATCCATCCATCTACCCACACACAAACCTGACCACCCATCATCCACCCATTGACCCATCCATCCATCCACCCACACACAAACCAGCCCACCCATCATCC